AAACAAACCGGACAAGGATAGTACTTGACGTTAGGCTTGTGCGAGGTGACGTAGTGCCGGCAGAAATTGCTGATGTGTGTGTAGGTACGATGGCATACGGTACACCGGTATACGTCGCCCTCTTTCACGCAGAAGTCCCGCACTGAACCCTCCGTTCTCTCGTTTTCGACCTTAAACGATCCTTCGAAGTCGCTTTGACTGATCTCCGACTCACCGGCGACCAGATTAAATATGGCACTGCTCAAATTGTCTTTCGACATCTTTTGCTCCAACTCGGAGTCGGAGTATTGCTGCGAGTCATCCATGGACGCCGTTGTTGTCGATGACGATGTTTTCCCTTGGAGAGACGACGCGCTGTACTCCTTGCGAAAGCATCGCTCGAAGTTGATGCGTATGTGAGTCGGTGACTGCGAGCCACCGCCACTCGACGTCTCCTCCGAGTCTGAAACGAAGAAAGCTCTCTCCTTTAAACAGTTCTCGACGTCTACCACCTCCGCGTCTAATACATATCATATATCTACGTTTATATATTATCATTCCAACTTAAGTAATGCGATTTAGCTATTGAAAATTATCCTATATATCATAGTAATATATATATATGTGTATAATAATGTACTGAGATATAACGTATTTCTATATATTTGTGGGGGGAAGCAAGAGGAAGGGTAGAGCCAGCAAAAAAGAGTCACCGTATTCGAACCGGCTGTCCGTCAACTCTGTCCCATGTTCAAGTGTTTTATGCCGCACCCGCTTTTCCGTGTCCCCACCCCCTTCTGTGTTCGTCGTCATTCCCTCTTCAGATTCTTTCGCTCTCACGCACGCTTTCGCTGCTGCTGCTGCTCGCTGTTCATCGCGGCTTTGCCTCGATCCCGTACGGCTGCGAAGAGGACCGTTACGGTCTCGTTTGCCATACCATGAAGAGCATTTCAGCGACTCAACGAGACCCTCTCTTTCTTCCTTCCAAATGGATATCCACCGTACACTCGCACATTCACGCCCTCGCACACGTCTTGCACCCTGTCCGTTCTTTCTTTCTCTCTCTCATCCACTCACCCTTTCTCTCTCTCTCACACCCTTCCTAGCATACGTAGCCTTACACGCCGTTTAACTCGTCCCCCGCTCACGTTCACCTGCACTCTCTCCCCCTCTCTCACCCTCTCTTTCTCTCACTCTATCTCTCTCTCTCTCTCGTGTCTATGCGAAAGTGCATTCACACACGCATACACGCGTATCACACTCACAGCCAGAGACGAACGCCTTACGCATACGCGTGCGTTGGTGTCGCACGTATATGCGAGTGTTGACAAAGAACCAACCCCCCCACCCGTAATATTCGAAAAAAAAAAAAAATTTTTTTTTTTTTTTTTTCCTAAAATCGTCCGTGCGTCCCGTCACAGTCTGGAATATCGTTAAATACGCAACGTATCCATTTCTCTATGGGTAGATCGCGATCCATCGAGATCGAGGACGCTCGAGAAGAAGCAAACGGTTTTCTCCTCTTCGATGCAATTTGGTAACTTTGTTATACATATTTTAATCCGCTTTCGGCTTCGCTGTTACGTCGCATTCATTTTTATATGTGTGTACATATATGACGTGCATATATATATATATTTTTTTCTAACTTTTTTTCGGTTTGTTTGATTTATTATATGTATATTTTCGTTTTGAGCGGCTGGCCTCCCCTAGTTCCCTCGCTTCCCCCGCGCAAAGGTAAATCTCTCAGAGATCGAATGGTGACTCAGATAATCTCAACTCACCTGCGCAAAGAGAACAAAAGCAACACGTTTCACGGTCACTACCGAACGATCATCATGTTCGACATCTTCGAAGCACTCTGTCACGCGCGCGCGTGCGTGTGCGTACGTCAAGTAAAGTAATTTCTTTCGTTATTGTCTCTTTCTCTCTCTCTCTTTCTCTCATGGAAAAGAAAAAAGACGTCACACTCTGGATTCTATGATTTCTTTTCTCTGTACATTTCTTTTTTTTTTATTTTTTTTATTATTTTTTTTCTATATATTGATCTCTCTCGCTTTCTCTCTCTCTTTTACTCTCTCTCGCTCTTTCTTCCCACGTCATCATATATCCATTTGTCCCTCTCTTTCTCTCTCTCTCTCGCACTCTCTTTCCGTCCTGTGTCCTTATCCATCCGTGTGTTATCCGCTTTCCGGTTCTCGTCTCGGTGTAATTCGGTAATCCGGAATTCTCGGTTTCTCCGTTTCATTTCCTCCGTCGTGAATACTCGCGACCAGGCAACGAGAAGAACGCAAGAGAAGGCGGAAGCGATAACCTGCCGACGTTCGTTGTCCGTTAAAGAAAAAGCTACGCACACTTTTTTCTTTTCTTTTTTTCTCGTTTTTTTTTTGTTTTTTTTTTTTTTTTTGTTTTATTATTTAATATATTTGTTTATCTTTTATAATTCATTTCACCGCGGTCTGTCACTCGGGCGCAACATGTATATATGATTGCGTTCAAACTTCCTTGCAACGAACGAACGTGAAAAAAAAAAGTAAACCAGCGTTTTAAATAAAAATCAGAAAAAAAGTAAGCACCGCTAAAAGCTGGCTCCACCCCCTCCTTTTACCAAGTGGCCAATGGCAGCGAAGCGTTTCTCATTCGTGCGGGGATGTATCGTGAGACATGTACATATATATACATATTTATATATATATGTATATATATATAATATAAATACGCGCATGCATACGTACATGTACATGCGCGCCTGTGCGTATGTATATACGTATATATATATATATATA